GAGAAGAGGGACCTCCAGACACCAGCATAATTGGACAGTTTATTGTTGTTTTACTGCCACTGCAGCTCAGAGACAGAAGCACTGAGAAATGGCTGTGCCAGGAAAATACTTCCTAGAAATATCACAGATTCCTTCCACCTACTTACTAATGGCTCTGCTCCAGTATGACAGCTACTCCAGCAGCCATCTGAAGCAACAGTAAGACATTTTAAGTGATAGACTAACATGGAAATTAGTACAGAAACAGAGAAGTCCTTAAACATTCATCTCTTGTCTTCATTTGCTCAAGAGCTAACACATTTTCTATTCTGGTGTAAGCCAGTTAAGCAAACTAGTTCTTGGTGTCCAGTCTAAGAACTACTTCATCTCTCTCACTGCAAAGGGGTCAGTGGGACTCTGTCTTACAAATGAACTGCAAGGATATTTTTAAAAGACAGATTTAGCCATTTATGAAGACCTTACTATAATTATTTTTAAAGTTAAGAAAGCTCCAGCGTTTGGAAGGTCACCAGTCCGGTTCTCATTTATAGTTATAAAAAATAAGCAGCTGCTGGAAGACATGTCAAGAAATTATTTAATCATTCATCCCAAAGCAAGACCGGCCAGATCTAATTTTTTTTTTTTTCTTGTCAATTGTCCAACCTATTCTTAAAATTTTACAGAAAAGAAATTCCAGCACCTCTACAATCTATTCCAGCAGTCAACTATTTTACTCCCAACAACCTTTTTCTAATGTGATCCCAACTCTTCCTTGTTGCTACATTACTTACTGATGTGGAGAATAAACTCCTTTCCCTTTCACACTTACTTTTATGCCTCATACTTAAAAAATTTAAGTACATCTCAGTATGTTGCTGAAGTGCTGCAGAAAAGGCAAACACTCACTCAGCTTGTGATCCACTAAAACTCAAAGACTTAGTCTGAGGAATTGCTATCTAATCCATTGCTCCCATCCTGCTTTTTTTTTTTTTTTTTTTTTTTTTTGCAGGCTGTTCTCTTTGATTTGTCAACATCACTAGGCATCCTAATCCTGCCTCTTCGCACTCTGCAAGTTTTGCAACTTCTGCCAATTTAGTAGGTACTCTCTATTCTATCCAGGTCATTTGGTGCTGAATAACAACAGCAACAGGGCAGACTTCAATTAACACCTCCCTCCACTGCGATAAGACAATATGAAATAATTAATACACACTCGCTGAAAATGGTTTTCTAAGTACCTTCCCATCCGGTTTACAGTCATTTTGACTAAATCAAACTTCCTTAACAAGCAAGACGGTACGAAAAGCTAAAATTTAAAGAACATCCGCTTTTCTTCTATCCATATGGTCTGTAACTCATGAACAACTTATTTTTCAGATGATTTAGCCTTTAAAAATTAATTTTGGTGACTAAACTTTCCATCTTCTTCCATGTGCTTAATATATTTGGGGGAGAGATTTTTCTGTTGTTTTGTGCCTTTTGTTTTTCTCCAAATATTCAAAAATTTCTTCAGACTGAAGTTTGGTTACCTCACCCCCCCACCGTTCCCATTTGAAGACGGATGATGTAGTAGAAGACTGAATACAGYGAACCCATCACCTGCACTTGTCGGGATCGCTAAAGACTCTGAAATTGTTTCAGCCTGTTTGCCAGTTATGCTGAAAAAAAGTCTAACTTCCACCCACCAGAATAAACCATCAATCTGCACTGTTGTTTCGTTTTCAAACTCAGAGCTTACAATTAACACCAACAAATCCCACCACAGCATTGATCTTGGCAGTGAAAACTGATACAAAAAATACTAMCATCAGTCCTTTCCATGCATAAGGCAGCAAACGATATCAAACTGATCTGATTTACTTACAGCTAAATAGCACTTCTTGCAGCTTGCACACAGAACAATTAAACTAAGACCCTTGACGCTTATAGAACCCATATGGGATAGTTATGTGATGAAGTGAAACTTGATCTTATACCCAAAGAACATTAACGACTAAGCTGCTATCACTGAACAGGAGCTCAACAAATTGTGTTACAGACTCAACATACTAGATACTAGAATGCAGCGCCTTACATCCATGTCACCAATTAAAACATGGTGCAAGGCTGACATGCCTGACTCCCATTATACTGCCACAGCTGTTGCTCTAAAGTGAGCCTAAGCCGGTCTCCATCCAGCTTTTAGCTGACAGGTATCCATGTCAGACATAAAGCACACCAGTATAATTAGTTCTCAYCAGAGAAACTAAATTACCTAGAAACTCTCATATTTCTCATAGCTGCTTCACATAAAAATACCAACTTTCAGGGGAGTTTGATGTATTTGCTGTATTTTTTCCTGTCAGTGGTATGCATATACCTACTCTTTGACTTTGGTGTAGCAGAACTGCCTCAATTCTACAGTATTTTAAAATACTGCAAGATTTACCACCATTACTACTACTACTGATTTTTACAAGAGTTTCAATTGGTTTCTTGAAATGCTTTCAACCCTCCCCTCCTTAAGCATGTTCTGAAAGAAAAACATTCTAAAGCAACTGCAAAATTGTGAAGCAGCAATAAAAAAAAAATCTAAAAGTGAGTCAGAATTATTGCTGGAACTCTTTTTACAAGGGAATCCATAACTTGAAAGCAAGACACAAGCATCACATTCACAGATGTATAACAACAATTACGTCACAAGGGCCACTGCTACCGTGCAGAAAAATGTTCCTATCACATGCAGCATTTTCAGGAGTGACTGGAAAGTGAGATTTACTCTCTTCCTCCTAATGCACATTGGCTCCCTTTTCTGGAAGCAACAATTGCCTCCACTTCTAACAGTAACTCCACAAAGCCTTATTATTTCATGCTTAATTCATATGTTAAGGAAATATTTTATGCATACAAAATATGTAAGCTGATACAGATAGATTATAGTAAYCATATTGAACAGTGTTTTCTCAAGGGCATAACCAACGCATGTTCACTCTCTTAAGCAAAACTCCATTAAGCACTATATGTTCAGTTTTAAAACATGGTAAATTAGTAAAAATAAAAGTTAATGGTAGTGCTTAAAAGTAGTTATTTTATGTCTTTCACTATTTGAATAAAGCATAACATAAAAATATAGTGAAGGACACGTTTAGTTTTTGTTCTACTTTTGTATACTTCTGCTGGAAATATGAAGTTTCTTTCCAAGTTGCTTTCTSAACTCCTGTCAAATGTGAGTTGTACGTAACCGTGGATAACGTAAAAACTGATGTTACTTCACTCTGCRGTCTAACAAAAACATCAGTTTTTCAGCCATCAATGCAGACTAACTAAACTTACCTGTAATTAAATTTACTTGCAAAAGTGCTTCAGATTTTACATGTTACATATATTAATATATATATTTACATTTTTCAGAACCCCACATTAGTCTTTACCAGAACTAGTTAACTATCATCTCCTCAAAATGGTAGAACTGTCTTCTCTTCTTAAAATATTGTTTCAACAACACAGATTTTCTAGCATGCTACTGCTCTACAGTTTGCAGCAATTTGGAAGGAGTTACTAAGAGAAAAAAAACAGAACATCTAGAATTTGGGGGAGGTCAATAGGAGGGCTGATTTTGTTTATTTCATCTATACTGTAATTTTTCGGTTGAACTCAATTAAATCTGACATTGTTTGGATTGTTAAGAGTTCCTATATGTGTATTCTCTAAAAGGCTACACGGGACCTGCAGGACTATATGACTAGGCATCATCACTCACAAGTTCTAGAAAAGCCCATGGATGAGCCCCGGATTCAATATTTTCTCCTGCAGAGCACTCCCCACCCCCACCCCCACCCCCCCCCCCCCCAAAAAAAAAAAAAAAAAAAAAAAAAAACCCACCACCAAGAACTTTGGACTTCAGTCTGACTTTCTGTTGCATTTGGAAGAATGGCAAACTTCTGTTTTCAATCATGGAAAGATGTGTTCTGCTTCATCTTTACCACATGTTCTAATTTTAATTTCCCATTCCCTGGGCCAGGTAAGTTCATCCAGATGATGTGAATGCTATGAAATAGAGATATTCTCACTTGCTGCAAAGAAAGCCTTGTATCAGACATTGGCACACTCTTGTGACTACCCTGAAGTTCTGCAGTGCTGCTGGCACTTACAAAGAATAGCAACCACTTACACAAAATACAAGCCTGCCTTTAATGGAAAATGGAACTCCAGTAAGGCATGGCAATACCTTCTCCTTGTCATTTATTTTATAGTGCCTAGTAGTTTTCTCTTGTGTGAACAGGGAGCCCAAACCCAAACAGAACTTCAATCATGCATTCTGAAATTTTCCTACCTAGTACGCTCCTACTTCTGAGTAGTCTATCTTACTTCAGCTCTGCCTTCTTTTTCCTGGTTCTCTMTGCACCTCATGTTTTAGTAGAGGATCATAGCAGACCTATATTCACAACCTGTGATCAAAGAAATATAAGAAATCATTTAATCTTGCTTAAGACAGAATAACCCTTTCTCGTTTAGTTTTATTTCCCCAAAACTATCTGATACATTGCAATTACAAATCAGCTTGCTTTGTTCCAAAATAGGTTACCAGCTTTCAAATGCAATAAAATATATTTCATATACCACAAGTACTCACTAGATGATTAAAAGCCCCAAGAAAAACTGAAAGTCAGTTGCATTGTCATTCACACTGAAGTTGCAGTGGTCTCAATAGAACAATGACATTTAGTGACATGAGTTTCTGATTTGACTTCCTTCTCATGCATTAAAAAGCTGACTTATTTTGATCAGATTACTTATTTGAACAATACAAATACTCTCCCTGAAAGCAAAAATGTGATTCACCAAAGCCTGAGCAACCACGGGATATCACTTGGGAAAAACTGCAAACAGTAGTTATTAACCTTGTAAAACTGCTTATGTTACATCCAACCTTCCTAAAGACAAGCATGCAAGATGAACAAATCCAGAAGTCATACAACATGTAAGAACAAAGTAATGAAGATACACTGAGGGCAGACAATTAACAGCTAGCTCTGAGATCTAATGAGGAATATGGACAGCAATACTTAGACATTTCACAGTGATGCAAAAAAAAAGGCAAAGATCAGTAAATAGGTTTCTCAATGACAATTACTATATAAATGAGAACAGCACTTCGAACACATACAGCTTGCAAAAGATATTTATGGAGTTCTAAAGGAATCTTTCATTCCCMCAGAATTCAATACATAATTTTATTGACGAAACATAGTGGTAATATTGCCTCAGACTTTTAAAATGAAGTTGAAACCCAGTCTCTCACACACAAAAACAACAATTCCAGAACTAAATGAATTCACCTTGGCAACTGATAACAGTGTATCATTTGGATACAGTACAAGCTCACAGGAGGGAGGCAGGAGAAAGAAGAAAAAAAAAGAGATTTGAGAGATGTCTTGTCCTTGGTACTTCACAAAGAAATTACTACTCAGTAGTGAAAGATGAAGCAAAAATTATGATGGCAGGTAACAGCATCTCAAGCCTGGATGTAATATAAGATGTATATAAGATGTGCTTACTCAAGAAAAAAGAATGTTTCAGAAATAGAATAGAATCCAAATAACTTTGTAGAAAATAAGTTTTATTTGTTTCCTTTCGTACACCATTTCAAAAAAAAGAAATGCACGTTCATACAGTTTTTCTCTTTCCCAGTGCATATCTCAGTTGGCTCATACAGAGCGATTAAGGCAAAAGACGCCTTTGAAATAATTTCAGACACACTGTGTTTTAACTGCAAAGCATCCAAAGATTGGTGGATTTGGTTTTTTCTTTTTTTCCTAAATTATAACCTGGAAAGACAAGTTTCATGTATTTCTTCCCCAATTCAAGTCTTACCACACAGGGAATAGGGGACAGAACCTGCAATAAAAAAAAAAATCAAACCAATGGCTAATACTGATTTCAGGGCAGAGCTAAAGCTGGATTCACTGTTTCATAATGAAGCAGGGTTAAACAAGAACTATTTGGATAACTTTCTCTTTCCAGAAGCTCTAGAACAGGAACAATAAAATGCCATTTTAAACCCAAATCAGCCATTGGTAATGAAAGTTTGTTTGCAGAGACAGCAGCCTTTTCCCRGATGTCTGAAGCAGGTCCTTTTTTCCGTTGACAGTGAACTATGGAATTTGTCAATTGCTGCTGCTTCTTAAACACTTCAAGTGGAGCAAATTCTGCTTGGGCTTTCATACACCACAAGAAGTATTAACCCATCAAGTAGCCCCTACGGAATAAAAGTTAGAAAAAAATGAGAGAGAGGGAGAGAGAGAGAAAGTTAGAAGGTACAGACAGTACACCTCAAAAATAGCACACCTCAAAAACAAGTGAATTACATTATTTAAACAAACATCTCAGATTGCCAATAAAAATTTCAGACCAAAGCTAGTTAGAAGGAACAGGAAATAAATGTCATCCAATGTACTAACCTACCATCTCAACTACCCATTCCMTTTGTTTTCATTGGCTATTGAAAATGAACTTCATCCTCAGTCCAACTTTTRTTATTGTCCAGAATTTTTGATAGTCAAATTACACTTTATGAAAGGATCTGTATTTGTATTCTTTATACAAACTACCACATTTAAGATAACCAATATATCTTAATAACTTGACAAACCTGATAAACTGGACTCATTTTCRATTTCAATTTCTCTCAAGCAATTCTCTCACAATTACTCTGCAGAATAACTATTATCGTAATCCAGGTCTCTTTTATTATTATAAATCTGTTTTATCTGTATCACTTCCTGTATAAAATGTAAAACCAAAATCATTCCAGAACATAGATCTCGTCTACCTCCAATCTGTATTAAGGATGACTCTAGRTTTTTAAAAATAGGACATACATTTTTTTTTCATCTGATTACACAAATCAGCTACTTCTATTAGTTTTGATGTTAAATTTTTGGTCTTTAAATCTGAGACAGTCATGTTAAACAAGGGAAATGAACCAACAGTCTGCCTTTGCATAAAAGATGCACAACAGGTAGCAATGAATTCCAAAGAAACTGTAGCCATTTTGTTAATGGAGGAGTTGCACAAAGCTACCTAGCACAGAAAGTACTTTTAAATATGAAATTGTTTCCTTAATGTGAGTCAGTACACTGCAGAGATTCGCTTTAATTACATCTGACTTCTCCTTTTAAAGGAGGTTTTGGGTGGAGGCGAAAAAAAAGTCAAAACCATTTAAGTGACATGACAGCCTGATGAAACAAGAAAATAAAAAGCAGGCTTCTCTTATGCTATCTGATGCCAAGGAACCCATCACTTGTACACCATGAAACAAATATTTAGGAAAGGAAGAACAACTGTCATTGATAAGCTAACATCTCCCAGACCTACTCTGGAAATTAACTGTCAGTACTTCAAAACAGCTGTTTTCAGCTATTCCAAGTGAAATAGACTGAAAAATAAACAGAAATACAGTCTGGAAGTTCCAGATTTTTTCTACTTTTTGATCTCTGAGTATATGTGTATTAAAACATTATATATAGTACACACTTCAATGTTATGTTCAGTTTTGAAGAAAAAAATGCATCATCTTTAACTTAGGACAGCCTAAGTTATCTCTGAATATCCATTATTCCCCTCTTCAGTTCTTCCAGTTGTGATTCCACACACAGTTATCAGCATAAACAACTCAACTGTCTCACCAAGTTCACTAATATATGCTTTTTCCTCTTCCCCTTTCTTTACCACAGCAGAGTCCTACTGTCATTCAAGGTGGACTGTCCCCCCCAAAAAAGCATTAAAGAAAAGCAACATACAGCCAAGTAGCAAATATTTAACATTTATCATTTTACTTTGTTACTCTTAAGTTTAGCATATGCACACATATGCCACTGGACAGAAGAAATGCAAAAACAGTACTAAGCCACTTACGGTAATTTCATCCTCATGAAGACTCTGGCCATAAAGAAGCTCAAAAGGACGCTTACAAATCCAATGAAAAGCAAGAGAAATCTGTTTAGCTTAGGGATATTTGGTGCATTTGATCGATCAAGAATTATGAATCCTAGGCCCCCCATTGTGAACAGGAAACTGGATGCGAGTCCTTCCATAATATATTGCCCATTTACTCTACGAAAAAAAAAAAGTGAGAAGTCAGAAAGGCATTAATTTTCAAGAAGGAACTTAGCTTTTGGAAACCTATCTACTCAAACTTACTCAGCCTGCTTTAGCTATGCAAATATGTAGAACATTTAACTGTGATAACGGCCCCTAACAAGAAAATAGGTATTTAAGCCGCCTTTGTGTAATTATGGTTAATTTATCTCCAAAAATGCAAGTTGACCAAACAAATGTACTAATTCTCCTCATGAGTTTTATTGCAGGACCATGTATATCAAGGGGATGATACTCAAATGCTAGTTTTTAAGAGTTAGGGAAGAACTAACACAGCATCATTTCAATAATTTCTGGAGTATCTTTTTCTAAAAGCAGTGCCAGATTTCCCTGATTACTCAAAGAACAGAACTGTGATCTCCAGACCACTGAGCTTTTCAAGCCTATTTTGGCCCTAATATAGACACAGCAGTATCTAAATTTCAGTATCACTGAAAAGCTGCACAGCACTCAAAACACATCAGTACATGAAGCACATCTGCTAGTTCCACACACTGCAGAAGTGGTCCGGTCTGCAGTATCAGTTTTGTTTTTGGCTCAGTGAGTCTACACAGGTTGTGGGGACCCAGCCTACAAGAGCTCTGCCTCTCTACCAGCCCATACTGATGTGTTTCCTTCTTATAAAGCCAACGCTGACAAAACTGAGGTAGATATGCAGCAAGAGCCTGCACTTTGACTGAGCTCCCTAAGTCCCACAATCACTGAATCTCTTTCTACTTTCTAAAGCAGCAATGCCACCATTTTGCAAAGACAGCGTGGGTGTAGCAATCATAGGGAACAATACAGAAATGAAGATAATCGTTGTTTCTATGTAAACGTAAGCACTTCTATTATATTATTTCTCTTGATTTTTACTAAAGTGCTTTCATTCCTTGCAGCAATTTATATATATTGCAGTAACTCAAAACACTTTTAGATTGAGATAAAATTTGCATGCAAGATATATAAAATTTCACCAGCAGAAACATTTTTTCTTGTAATTATCAAAAATATTATTTGTTAAAAATTAAAGTTAAAAAGTGTAAATCAGGATTTAAAAGCATATAACAAAAAGCTTCTTCACAAGGATTATACTGCTATGAAGTATTACCAAATATTTCTGCATCCATTTAAAGACTCCAAGAACTTGGAAAACTAAAGTTGAAAAGATGTTTCTTACCTATGTGTTTCCTTTGAGCAACTTTGGAAGAACTGTTTTTTGGCTTTTTTTTTTTCTTATTTTTATTAATTGCAAAGCTTTATTAAAGTTTTTATTGCCTTGTTTTCATTTGCAGATCAAGGTCAGCTACACACCAAATCCTACAACCCCCAGAGTTCACAAGAAGCTGATGCAGCTTGGTTGCACAGCCAGGTTCATGTGCATTTATGTCCTGCAGTATCTGGCTGGCTGGGGAAGTACCTGGCTCCTACCTGTAGGCCAAGAAGGCCACTGGCCTCTGATGCCCATGTTCGTCTGTCATAGACCCAACACTGGGAGGTTCCACGATCACATCGTAGATAATCCCTATAAAAATAAAAATATAAATAAAAATGAATTATCTTAGAATCAAAAAACAAAGAGTAGGATCTGCTTTAACACAGGGGAGGGCAATTTGAGCTCTCTTGGTTCTTTCCTGGCTAAGGTGAAGCTAGAAAAGAGCAGCTTTCTACTTCCCACAGGCGACATGGAAGGCTCCCTCTCAGCCTAACCCCCAGCCCTAAAGTGCCTTTCAGCACAGCCCTCCCRCCCCGGTGGGCACCTCCGGTGATGAGGAAGTAGGAGACGACCACCAGCGCGTAGACGGTCATGGCCGAGGGCATGTGCACCCAGCCCGGCCGCTTCAGCTTGATGTTGGGGCACTCGAGCACGGCGAACGGCAGCCGGTACAGCGTCTCCATGGCGGCGGCACAGCACGCGCCCGCAGCTCCAACGGTCACCGCGGCCGCGCGCCCCCTCCCCCCGCTCCAACGGACACCAACGGACACCAACGGTCGGCACGGCCGCGCGGCCCGCCCCACTCGGCTCCTCCACAGCCACCGTCCACGAAKACGGAAACGGAAACTAAGGGCGGAGGGGAGGAGTGGGTAGGAGGRGACGGCGGGTCCTTGCAGATGGTGACAGAGAGAGGCGGCCGGAGCCCCCGCGCTGTGGCGGGCGAGGGGGCGAAGCGAGAAGCCGCAGGCGGGAAGCGGCGGCCGCAGCCCCCTTTAACCCCCCCCCCCCCCCCGCAGAATGTTCTGGAAGGCGGCGCGCGGGCAGCGCGCACCTGCCAGGGCCCAGCGGGCGGGGCGGGCCGTGACGTGGCGCAGCCGCGCCCCGCTGCCTGCCGGGCCCCGCGGCCAGCAGCGACGCACCCGCAGAACCGCCCCCCCACGCGCGCGCGCACGCACACACTGCAACCAAAAAACTGCCTTGTGGTCCAACCAAGCATCGCTGCTATCAGCCATTGCCACGTTCAGCCTTGACCCTCCTGCTCACAAGAAAACTCCCAGCTCCAGTATGRCTTACCAATAAATGTTTGAGGTTTCTCTTTTACAGTCAGTCCAGGAGTATCTTCTTAACATCTTTCCTTTCAGAAAGCACTAAAGAAAACTAATCCAGTAGTTTTTCATGTAAATCAGGAATACCAAACGCCTACTTCAGAGCACCTCYGGGGTAGCTCAAAACACTTGGCCCACTTTCCACTTATTTTTCCAGATGCCAGAACACTGAAGTCTCTACTAGCACAACAAGTAATACAATTTTAACCTTGTAAACTAACTATAGTAACAGCACCTAAAAATGTCAGGGTAATAACATTAGTCTTAAAAACAACCTACTTTAATTAGCTTCAGCCTCTGGAACAAGTTTCAGCATAACCTCAACTGAGAATATTTCAGACGATGTATTTGCAATGCCTTCCATTTTGAGAACACTAGCAATTATTTTGATGGCTTGAAAAACTGCAAACAAACACTCAGGGTGCTGTGGGGGGATCGTTCTACCTTGCTTCGTTAAGGTACTTCCTCTGCAACCGGGAGCTGAGAGGTTTCCCATCAAGCTCAGCAACGCTGTGGGTTTGCAGGCAGTTGCCCCAAAGCAAGAGCTCACAGACACTGGAATTCTTCACCGGCTGTGCTGGGATCTCATCCTTTGCTGTCAGGGCACTGACAGGCGCTGGAACTGGGCACGCTGCGAACTGCCGGCATGCACCACTAGCATGAAAGAAATCCTTTTGGACATACCCTATGGAAGTTCAGCCTGAAAAGACTTCACAAGTAACCYTAGGGCTCTTCCAAGGGCATCTTCTCTAGCCCCAATGTTGGCATTTAAACAGCATTACTACTAACAAAACCACATTTATAAGCAGTGTTACTACTAACAAAAATTAATAACTCACCATTCTGATTAAAARTTAAGTATTTAAATTACATGTACTTCATGTCATACCAACATGGAAGGGGATAGCTACTTCACACACCAGGCATGCAAAAACTGTTCTGTGTGTCAGAGCACCCCCGTCTAGCATTAGACACAGGTTTAAAACTCTTTAAATATTACCACGAGGCAAGGAAAGGAAAAACAGCCCATTTCCACATCTTTTACAATTGCACATTATATTACCTTGAGTGGGCAAGCAACATATCCAGGAGAACTTTCTTCAGGTTCAGATACCTGAGGTCTTACCTGCTGCTCTAAATGCCATCAAGCCCAATTCTGTGAGGTCTGTACCACCCAGGCTCCCARGCACCTACAGCTCTTTTTATCTGCTGATCCACGGAGCCTCCCTCCCTCAGGACATTCCTAATGGGGCCAGAGCACCACAGCTGCAGCCTTCCTCCAAGAGACCCAGGCAAGGCAGTACACTATGTCTGGGGCACAGAGGACTTGCTCCACAAAGCCACACAATTCCACCCCCCCTCCCCAGACTAAGATAACAGTAACAGCAGATACTATTTGGAAAAAAAATAAAAAATAAGACGACCTTAGACTTGTACTAGTTCTCCTCTTCCTTGTCTGACATCTCTCTTCCAGTCTTTAATTATAKTCTCCCTTTGCTTTTCTTTTTCAGACTGCTAACTTTCTTCTTTGCCAAGTTCTCCAATTTTATATAGCTGTATTTAAAAAAACAAACAAACAAAAAAAAACCAAGCTGGACGTTATTCTACTCCCCTCTATGGGATTATGGGACAACCAAAAGTCCCATTTAATGGGACCTTCTTGAACCTGCTTACTTCCCCTATTTGTTGGCAGCACAATGTACCCTGACTCACGAGTTTTGTTCAATCAAAGCCTTTTTTTGTATTTGACCTGTGAGAATCACCTCCTTCCAGTTTTGACACGCAGGGGCAGTGACTGAACAAAGGAAAAGCAGAACTTTCATTTATTGGGCAGGAAATACAAATAGATTCACTTTGACTTCTGGCTCTGTGCTTGTGCCTTCAACACTTTCACAACGATCTTCTGCTCTTCAATAAGAAAAGCTCGTTTGATTCTGAAAAAGGTAAGAAAAACACAAACACAGTTTTAGCATGTGTAACTAAGTGAAAATATGAGACAAAAGTTGACAAAAGTTAATTATTTTTGTTGTCACTAACATCCAATATTGCACACTTGGTATTTGTTCCAGAATTACATTAGAGAGGCATGTTTTCAATGTTCATAAAAAAAAATCAAAAGTTAGGGAGCATGGCACTATAAGAATGCAGAGGTTTGATAAGAAATCCCAGTGTGCTCGCATGGTTCAGTATTAGTGGTTTTTAAACAGGTGACAAAGAGTTTGAGTAACACCTGGATGCTGAAYTGTAAAACACTGGAGAAAAGTAATAGCTCCTTCACAAATTCCAAATGCAAGAAGTAAAACCTCTTAGTGTCAACCCATTTAGCAGTTCTTAAACTAATTAAAAAAAAGTGTGATCACTTGTGATCAGTTTTCTTCCTTAGAATTACAGGAAATTTAAGTCAGTCTGGTTATCAAAACAAGAACACTTCCTCTCTCATACTTGCAGCTTCTTTGTAAATGAGCGCACCGCAGACTGGCGAGTTAAATCACRCTTAGCTATAGTTATTTCTGGAGGCCAAATAGGGCCACATCTGTATATAGTTCTATGTGATAATACAGATCAACAGATTCAGGGAGTATGACTTASAAGTAAAAATATACCACATACTCTCTATCTTAAAGAACTGAAATGCCAAATCCATATGCATGAGACAAACATGCCTGAGATGATGTAGAAGAATGACCTATCAATTATAGTAAAAAAAGAAACTACATCACTTTTAGGTAGAGTAAGACACTCCCCGAAATACTCAATTATTAAAAATGATCTACCAAACCCAAAGTACCTGAGAAGTTTAAAAAAACACAGCATTTAACATGKAAGGTATTGGTAAGGATCTGTCACACAACTCATCCAAAATAGCAACTACAGTGATTTAACTTAGGATTCATTCACGTATGCAAACAAAGATTTATCAAAAAATACATACATGATTATTAGGTAAAAAAATTCTGGTCACTGAGACCAAGTGAAGGCCATCATAAAGATCAGCCACAGAGAGGCTTAACATGCATCCACATTTTGAATAACAAAACACAACAGAGAAGCTAAAAGCTCAAGTGATTTTACAGTCATCTCTGCAGAGGATGATACAATTAAAGGAAGAATTCTTTACTAGGGGGCTGAACTAAAAASAGAAAAAAAAAGAAACAAACTTATACAAGTGAACAAAATGTTCATCCAACCTGTAAAATAGTAAGAAATTACAGAGAACATCGCTTCTACAAAGAGCCTCCAGAAGAAGTTACCAACTCAAATCCAAAGGGTCAGACTGCACACATCACTGTCAATCTRCCCCTTGTTCATTCTTTTTACCACACATCAAAGAGGCTTTAACATTATGACGTATGTTTTGAAAATACTAAGATATTAACAACTCATACTAGGTAACCTCAAAAATGAAGTCAGCTTTCTAGAAGCTTACCTGTCACGGACACATTTAGCACACATAGAACCACCGTAGGCTCTGCTAACGTGTTTCTTCGTTTTCGAAAGTCTCATAAGAACTTTAGGACGTACAGCACGAACCTACAGAAAGCACAAGTTAAACAGAATCGTAAGACAGCCCTGAATAGTACTTACATTAAGAAAAATCACTTTCACACTTGAAAAACTTGTTTAAAAAACACAGCAACATACAGACAAGGCTCCACCTATACACCTATCYTCAGTATTTCTCTTAGTCCGTCATTCTACCATTTTAAAATTCTGTTTTTAACAACAAATGTGCCGAGGAATCAAAGATAGATATTATTCGTATGCTGATCATTAAGAGGAATGGCACTAAACCAGAAATATACTCTGGAGAAAGAGTATCTTAAAAAGAATTCACCATATCTAAAACTGATTATAAAACTTGGCTTACACCTATTTTCAATATATATATGGAGTTCTAATAGAAAGCTACCTGCTACACCAATATCTGAGTTTAAAAACCTAAGACACTTATGATCTGATTTACCAAAAGCTGCAGTTAAAATAGCACTAAGGATCATGATCACTAAGAAAATATATTTACTATTTAAGCCTTCAAAACACTGGTTTACAAGCTCAACTTTACAGTGTTCAGATGACCCAAGAAACAGCTAAGAAAAAGTGATGTTCCAACCAGAACTCAGTAAGAACCAAGGAGCTGAGTCCAGCATTCAGCAAACAACATCTTATGCCAGTAAAACTAAGACTTACACCGCGAAGCCTTCCTGGGCACACACCACATGCTGACTTCGGTGCCTTCCCAACTTTCTTGGTGTAAAGGTAAACAATCCTGTTCCCAGGTGTTCGGGACCTGAACACATCAGGAAAACATGTAGTTAGCAGGAAGACCAGACGCCTAAATAAACGCAGCTCCCTTAAAAGCAGAGCACAACTTACAGCCTGGTCTTGTTGGAAGCTGTGTTGTAG